AAAAAAAAAAAAAAAAAAAAGTCAAAATCATCTTCAAACAAAGTGACTCATGAGTTTTAGGGTTATTCTGTGACCAAATTCATTCTCGAATCGACTCGATGAGCTAAAATTCTTTGGAAATTTTAAAATTTAGTTTTGAATTTACGTTTTGATTATTTGGTTTGATGAAACAAGCGGTGAAAACGAATGGAGTTTTGTCAAGAAAGTCGTATAGCTCTTAGGAGAGTTAGAGGCCAGCGATTGAAGATGAGTTGTTTGGCTTATGCTCGACCAGGGCAGCTAGCATCTCATCGGCTAGATCGATGATTAGAGTCATTTGGATGGATCTAATAACTTAGAGATCTTAGCCCTAACCTTCGTAAACTTTTCCTAACAAAAGGTTATGAAATATTTTAGTTATAAGTATTTAAGAATTTTTACTTATAAAAAGAATAAATATTCAACAAATTTCAATACTCGATAATTAATAGGGATGATTTTTTCGATGCTATAAGAAATCATGGGACAATAATGTCACAATATTTTATTTTTATTTACAATAACATATGGGCCATACATCTCTTAAGTTCACATGCATTTTTTTTTTTAAAAAAAAGCTCACGTGCATTTTATAAACAGATGTTATTGGAGAAATAACACTATGTCCAAGGTCAATACTAGCAGATATAGTCCGTTTTAGTTCGTTACGTATCGTCGTTGGCCTCATAATTTTAAAAAATGTCTACTAACAAGAGGTTTCCACACCCATATAAGGAATGTTTCGTTCTCTTCCCCGACCGATGTGAGATCTCAAAATGTACTTCCTTTGGGGCCCAGTGTATTTACTAGCGCACCACCCAGTGTCTAATTGTGATATCATTTGTAACCGTCCAAGTCCACCGCTAGCAGATATTGTTCATTTTAACCCGTTACATATCACTACTAGTTTCATGGTTTTATAACGCATCTACTAAGAAGAGATTTCCACACCCATATAAGAAATGTTTTGTTCCCCTCTATAATTTTATGTATTTTAAGGAAAAATATCCCAAACATACTTGGTATGGAAGATTAATTTATTATTTTGTGTTTCTCTTACGTAATATTGTCATCGGTTGTAATTTGGATGTGTCGATTCTGTCCTATATTTCAAAATGTTACACTTATTTTAATTGGTTAATAGATTTAGAATCTTACACTTTTCTTTCTCAACTTTCTCTCATGCTCACCTCTTTATTTATTTATTTATTTATTTGTGAGTCTTTTATTAATTAATTTAGTTTTTTAATTTTAGTATCATTAACTTTTCATAGATATCAAAATTAAATTGGTTAAACAAGTAATTTTATCTAATTAATAGCAAACTCCCACAAGTTGCTCCATAAAAGTAGCAATTAATTATGGAATTGAGTAATTTAATGAAGTGGGAATTGTTGATTTGAAAACTCAAAAGGTAAGATAGCATGGGTTGTCGTCATAGGTTCACATGTCCCATAAACTGACAAAGTCTAAACGGTTGGATAACTTACAATATCTTTTAGTTGTTTTGTTTGATAAGCAATTCATGGTCTTAATAGTACTTTGCACATGTGACTCCCAATCACTTTCGTAATCTTGTCCTATTAGTTTACAATATTCATGCCATTGCTTAACTTGTACGTTTCGGTTTTTGTGTTGATTTGTCTTCTTATTTTTCTGGTTTTAATTTAACTTCGGAAGGTCTTTGCGTAAAGGTTCAATGTACGAAGAAGGTAACGTAAAACTGACTGAGGTATATGTATTCAAGTAAAGAGGTCAGAAGTTCGAATATTTCATTATTATTCGAACTTTATAAAAACATTTGAAGTAAAATTGGTTTTTATTTATTTTCAAACTTTTTGTTGCTTCATTTAATGGAAAATTTTTAATTTTGAAGTTTTTGGTTTACGGTTTAGAGTGGTAATTATGAAATGAGATGATGTAATGTCCTATGTTTAGGATTCGGCATTTGATGATTTGACATTCTCTTCTATCCTCTTTCGCATGACCATGTTACTTGTTGTTTCGAAAAAATGAAGACTATCCCCACGAGCGAGCTACTATGTGGCACATGCGTGTGTCATAGTGAGGGTGAGCATTCTGAGACGAGTGTTTTCCTTTCAAATGTGTTTTTCAAGAACAGTACTGGGTGGCACGAGTGTGCTAGTATTGTGCTCTAGTCCATGTGTTGGAGGTCGAATTTTGTACCCACTATTTGGTATGACATCTGTAAATGACATGGTATGAACACAAGAGGGCTCATGTCTCGATAGAACCGGAATGGATGGATGTTTGGGATGTCTTGATGTTATGAACGACACGTGAACCTGTTCTCGATGGCATGACCGAGTGAGCTGTGATAGCCGACGACACCCTATGACTTGAGATGACATCAAGATATATGAGGCATGTTAATTGGGTACCAAAATGAGATGATGGGATGCGACGTTGCATTGAGAAATCTTGGTCCCGTGTAGAGATAAGGTCGGATCAAATGACTTGGCCTAGTTAGAGGTAAATTGGTTGTGTCGTGTATGATTGAATATGCACGCATAGATGGTGTGTGTGGCAAAACAAACTTGGATTCCGCACAAGTAATGTTTGGTTGGCAAAAACAAATCTCGCTTAAGGTCCAATGAAGCCAAAAAGCCGACAAAAAATGAATATAGGACTTGGGTTCCCCTCAAGACTTTTCATTAGAGTGTCAAGATCACGACGTTGCACAGTTGAAAAAGTACGACCATAACAAATAGTATTATATAACTTGAGATCCTAAAAAAAACAATTCGTTACCTTATATAATTATATATCTTTTAAGTTTTATTGATTTAATCGCTTATCATTTGTATAATTTAGTCACTTGGGTAAGCATATTAGTTGCCACTTAATGGGTTTCCTATCAAATCTAAAAGGTTGTGGTTAATCACCTAGATAAAAAATTGACTATAATAGACATATAGATAAGTTTCCTATCCCTCTAGGTGTACTCCATGTACCAGCGGGGAAGGTGATAGCAGAATTCGAGCAATTTAGTTGGAGATAAAAAATTGCACAAACTTTTTGTATGCCATAGCCTAAAAAATGCAATAATATAATAAAGTTGAACAACGATTTTGACTCTTTGTTCTTAAATCAAAATGAATAAGAAGATATTTGAAAAGGTTAATCATATTAGTAAAAATATCAAGTTTCTACGTTTTTCAAGTGGTTGATCTTAGTGTGCTAGCTGTCACGGTCATGCTCGTCCAGGGCATGTTGCCCATGGCTGCATGCCCATGACAAGCCAAACCCTTGTCATGTCTTTTCATTCTAGTGTTTTTCCTTTTGTAATTCTAGGGCGTATGACGCCTCAAAAATATCATGTCTAGGCTTGCCAGACTTAAAATGGCTCAGAATGTACTATAGGGGGATATGACTAGTTGTCAACTTCTCCCTACCCAAGGTTATATATGCTAAGCCGTTATTATCTTTCTCTTGCTTGTTTATATAACGTCTCTTTCCAAAATCTCTCTTTCTAAAATCTCTCTCTCTCCTCGTTTTCTAAAACCTTCTTTTAAAACCGAGGCTAGAGGCTCGACCGTACGTCGCGTTGGCTGAATTCGACTTAAAGTTCGAACACAAAGCAGGAAAGAGTAATCAAGCAGCCGACGCACTGAGTCGGAAGGGCGAACATGCGGCCCTGTACATGTTAGCCCATATTCATTCAAGTAAGATCGATGGATCGATGCGCGACATCATCAAGGAACAATTGCATAAAGACCCATCGACCAAAGCCGTCGTCAAA